ACACACAAACATGACATACACACAAACATGACATACACACAAACACGACATACACACACACACACAACATACACACACAGACACACGCAGGTATAAGTTTGTTTTCTACATTGTGTGTGTGTGTTTTCTCAGCTATGATTTGGTGTATGGCATATCTACATTGAAGTCTATGATGTGCTCATGTACATAGTAAGATAAATGTGTGTGCACTGTAAAAAATATGTATGATTGCAATTTAACTCTACACTACTAAAAATGTTACATTAAAATACTGCTGAGTTTACCATTTCTGGAAGCAAATAAAATATTTACTGAAAATAAACAGTGGTTTTATGTTACAATGCATGTTGTTAAATGAATGTTTATCGTGTTATTTTAGTGTTGTGTGTGTTATCATGATGGTGTTTGACACAAAAAGGTCTGTTGGATTTACTGGTTTAACATGTTTTTTTTTTTTTTAATGACTGTTTTAAAGTGTAAATTTACAGGCTGATCTGTATGTAAACACATTGTACTGTATTTTTCCGGAGTGATGTTTGTACCGCGCAGTGAGTCGGCGCTGAAGGTCTGGAAGCCTCTCTCCTGGACGCTGCCGTTAGTCTGCAGCAGAGTGACCCCAGACACAGAGTCACGGATGCAGAGCTGCGACAGATCACCACCCTCCTGCGGATTACTGACCTCCAGACGCACCTGCACCTGCACCTGCACCTGCGCAGACACACTGCCCCCCCAGTCCACCTGCAACACACATTTACACACTCATATACATAAACCAGCACACACACACACTCATATACACACACACATATACATATACATACACCAGCACACACACACTCATATACATACACCAGCACACACACACTCATATACACACACACACTCATATACACACACACTCATATACACACACACACACACTCATATACACACACACACACACTCATATACACACACACACACACTCATATACACACACACACACTCATATACACACACACTTCAGATGACCCAACACCTGTGAAGAGATGACCCAACCCTCGAGAGGACTTCAGGTGACCCAACACCTGTGAAGAGATGACCCAACCCTCGAGAGGACTTCAGATGACCCAACACCTGTGAAGAGATGACGTGAAGAGATGACCCAGCCTCTTACGAAGACTTCAGGTGACCCAACCCTCGAGAGGACTTCAGATGAAGCGGACTCTGAATAAACATACAAAACTGCTACATGTGCCTTGCATTGTAATCAACATGATCACATCACGTAACCATTGCTTTAAGTTGTTCATTGTTTCTGTATATATTTCATTGTTTCTGAATACATGACGTTACTTAACTGCATGATTTGTATAGCCTAATTTTAGACCATTTCTGCCATATGAACATTACTTTGGCACAGTTACACCTGTTAACAGAACTCTTATTTGTAATGTAGAAACATTCATTTTCTGTAAAGCTGCTTTGAAACAATGTGTATATTAAAAAAGTGCTATACAAATAAATGTGAATTGAACAAAACTTAATGCATTTTTTTCTCCTCTCCAGATCAGTAGGGAAACCATACATTCACACTCCTTTCTGTGAGTGACTGGAGCACTCCCATGCAGCACAGCAAACTATAGTGGAGACTGTTCAAGGACAACATGCTTTATAGTTTATTATAAATGTATAAATCGATTGCTGTAAATAAGTGCATAACAAAAGTCAACATACATAAAATATATGATTAAATGTGTAAAAATGTTAAGTTGTTTTAAATTGGAATATACTACAAATATATTTTTATATATTAATAACTGAGGGATGCACAAGAATCAAAAACATTAAACCAGATTAGTTTTCACTTAATAAAATATCTTCATTTATTTGGAATTAATTTTCTAAGACAACAAACTTAACATTTACCATGAGATTAGTAAAACGACAATGAACATTAAGATGCGATTGAACTTGACTAACAAGCAAGCTGTAAGAACACACACACATACATATATAATTATATTTATATAGAGAGGCTGAAGTTACTTTGGTAGAAGACCACGATGTCATTTATATAGCAAACACGGACTTTTACCATGGTAACTTCAGCCTAAAATATGTTAACAAGGCAGGTAAGGATAGCTGACCACATTAATCCTCAAATATTAGCGGATTTTATCTTTTAAAAACAACACTGATATAACTACATATATATACTACGTATACATGTATACATTATTTTATAAATAATGTAAATACATTATTTTATTGTCTACTAATTACCAAAACTCACAGTTCTGTCTCTCCAACTCAATGTATTTCAATTGCCCGCTATGAACTTCCTGGAACTATTTGAGGTCTACGTGAATCACGTGACGATCGAGCGTTTTGGACTTCGTTGACGCAACTCTCTTTCTGTGGCTCTGCAGCGGACAGTAGGAGCGGTGTTGCCAACTTAGCCATTTTGTAGCTAAATTTAGCAACTTATAAATACCCTAGCAACTTGTTCTTCCAAAAGCACCTAGCAACAAATTTAGCTATTTTTAAATTTTATTTGGCTACTTTTAGCATCTTTTGATAAGTGACTCAAACAATAAAAAGGCACACATTTTCACACACATCACATGAATTAAGTTATTGCTATTTGCACTTGTTCAATTTGATAATGATAATAATAATGGTTTAATAATTGTTCATTAATGAAACACGTTAGTAGCTTGTCCCTGCGATTGTTGATCAGTTAGTACACTGAGATAAATATCTAGAGAAATGGAAAAAGGTATTAGTAATTTTCCAGGACATTATCCGTTATCCGTTGTAACCCTGTAACCCGAAAACACACAAAAACATTTTTTTACATTTTTTTGTATCGCTTGAAGAACATAAATACCAAATAAATAACAGTAAGAAAAATCTTAATACAATTCAAAGAAGTCCAAATAGCAGCATAACAAAAAATACATAGATAAACAAAATAAACATAACAGGAAAAGTAAGAAACAAAAACAAATAAATACAGAAAGAAAAAAAACTACAATACAAGGGGCTTAATGATCAAAAAATACCTTCAAAAGATTAGATAGTTTAAAGGGGTCCTATTATGCTTTTTCACTTTTTTAATTTTAGTGGCTTTTTTATGACGCATGAGCTTCAAAGATTTGAAGAAGACCATTATGTTAAACCTCTTAGAAGTCCCAAACGGTAACGATACTGAACTATTTATGTCTTTGTACAACATCTCTATTAATGTAACAAATTTATGACCAAAACTAAAAAACTTTAATGTGTGTACAATGAATTTATGTTCTACAGTATCGAATGCCTTATATAGAAATCAAGAAACAAAAATCATCCTTAATTAAATGTCCATAATCAATTAAATCTAAGACGAGTCTAATGTTGTTGTGTATTAACCTTCCTTTAATAAAACCAGATTGAGTTTCACTTATAACTTGACTAAATATTAACCTATTAGCAACAGATGTAAGAATATTATAATCAACATTAAGCAGGGTAATCGGTCTCAGATTCTCAATCATTCTTTTATCTTTGTTTGACTTTGGAATGAGAAGAATTAAGCCCTGTCTCATAGTTGGAAGTAAAGAATTCGAATCAAAACACTCCTTTAAAGCTTTAAATAACAAATCTTTATTATCCTCACAGAAGAATTAGTACAAATCAGTAATCAAACCGTCCTGACCAGGAGATCTACCCAAATGCATTTTTTAATAGTTATTAAATTTAATTCTTTAAATTCAATATCAATCTGTGGAATAAAATCTTTTACCTTTTCAAAAAATTCCTTAGCAGTATTTTCAGAGTATGACGAAGAGTAAATATTACTATAAAACGAGTATATTTCCTCAGATATTAATTTCGGATCTGTGATTACCTCATCATTAATAATTAAACTACGAACTGCATTACTTTGCTGTCTCTTTTCTAACCGACAAAAATAAGCCGTATTCTTCTCTCCTTCTTCCATCCATTCTGCACGAGACCGTACAAAAGCTCCTTGTGCTTTCATTAGATGCATGCTGTCTAATTTAGCTTGAAGAGAGAGTAACTTCTCAACATCTTGAATCATTTCTTGTGTATTACAACAGATATTAATTTCTTGAATTAACCTCGACTACCTTTGCTTGAGATCTCTGCTTTTTTGTTTAGCAACCCGAATTGAAATTTCCCTAGTTTTAAATTTAAAATACTCCCATTTAATCCCGTTAGAACGTAAAGAGAAGTCATTTTTAATCTTACTAATCAAATTTCTTATTTGACTACAATAATATTTATCCTTTAAAAGTTCTGCATTAAACTTCCAATAGTCTTTCCTAACGGTATGTTTGGTGTCAAAGTTAATGAAATCAGGCAATGATCTGTCAATGGCGCCGCAGAAATGGAAACATTAGTTGCAAGCTCAGAATATTCCTCAGCGATGAGCCAAAAGTCTATCCGTGACTTAGAGGATCCATTAGGTTTGAGCCAAGAGAACTGACTAGCATTAGCATAAGCCTCCATATATCTACAAGGGAATTTACCTGGCAAAACTCCTGAATAATGATATTGAAATGGAGATCTGTCCAGCCACTCATCGGGTGCCAAATTAAAATCACCTCCAATTAGTACCAAATTTGTATAATATTTCTATTTAAAATGCGTAACAGCATCTGTAATATTAGACAACCAAATCTTGTTTTGCCCATTACTGTTATACCCATGAATATTAACTAAAATAACAAAACCTTCACAGTTAACCACAGCAGTAAGCCAATGTCCATGAGCATCAGATGAAAAGTCACAACCTTCCCTGGGCAATTGTTAAGCCACCTGCTGACCGACTGGAGCCATGACTGAACAACAGTGTGTCTCCACACTGCAGTTTCCAAAAAGCTGCATCTTCTTCAGTTGAGTGAGTCTCTTGTAGAAAAACAAAATGTGACTTCTGCCCCTAACAAAACAAAAATATACCTTTGCGTTTTACTTTGTCATTTAGACCCCTTGCATTGAATGAACAACAAGATAAAGGAGATTTTAGTGAGAACATACTCTACTGGAACTCACAGTGAACAAACAGAACATGACACTAAACAGTCAGTAATGAGATCTGAAGAATAACCCTGCAACACAAAAGGAGCCTCTCAGAAATCAACATTTCCCTTTTTCCGAATATTCATCATCATGGAAAAATGTGCTTTCCCTCAATGAAAGCAAAAGGACCCCGCTGTCCCTTCTGCTCGTGCTTGTTTAATGCGTCGAAAACACAAAATACAATGCGTAGTTTAAAATGCAGGTAAAAAAATCCTGTGAATTAACAGTAAATTGTGCTCTATTTTTACAGACTTTTCTTAGAGTGTAGCATAGTAACTACTAATGCACTGCTTAAAACTAGAACTGTTCACAATGTGTAGTTTTACTAATAAAACTTCAATTGTAATCATTAAAAAATGTGTAAGTGTTCAATAATTCAACAGTATTTTACAAACAAATCTAAATTAACATATACAAAATATATTTTACATTTTTTGCTGAGATTTGATGTAGTGACAATTTTTTTCTTTTTGTTTTTTTCTTTTTATTTAATTGTATTATTTTTTGTGGTTTATATTTATGCATGTGTATTTTATTCACATCTTATTTTTATTATCTGTGTGTTGTTGTTGTCTCCGTGTACTGGAAGCTTGTGACACTATAACAAATTCCTTGTATGTGCAAACATACTTGGCAATAAAGCTCTTTCTGATTCTGATTCTGATTTTGCGTCGTGATTACGTAATGA